CTTAATTATTATAATAGTAGACTAATAATATTAATAGTAGTATAAAAAGTTTAAAGACTATAGGTTTATCTTAAAGCAGAGGGTTAGATTTCCTGAGCCCTCTAATGTAGAGTTCTTAATACAGCCTGTCTGCGACACCAGGCGCTCTATTGACAACAGGGAGGGCAACTACATCGCCTTTCACAAGAAGGGGGCGTCTATCACGAGGCCCTCGGCCTTCCTCAACAACATTGCGTCAGGGCGTACAGCATCGGCGTTAGGAGGTCGAAGGGGAACTAGAAGACGGGGAAGGCGAAGATGTGCAGCGACATCGTGATGAAGGGCAGGGGGGACGACACGTGGATCTCCAACCAGTGGATCTGCGACAACGTTGTAATTGAAGGGGTCCCCAGGCACATCCTCGGCAAGCCCCCGAGGACTGTGCAGTCCGGCTTTAGCAATATCAAAGGAGAGCAGGATCGGCCACGACTTCGCGCGCATTAGCCTCCCCGAGATTTACTTTGGCCTTGTGTTTGAGACGCTGTTGAGCAAGTACCCCAAGCTGATGGAGGGCGTGTCGGAGACCGTCGGGTACTACTGGATCAATGCGTCGTGGGGTGTGACGTCGACTGTGGGCTTGTACAAGTGCAAGGTGACCGCTACGGATATCAATAGGACCCAGGGGCTGTCTAAGATAATGAAGATGTTAAAGTGCAAGAGAGCTTATTAACGCATGCGACTGTCGCCATCTGTCACCTTCTATAGCCAGGTTGTAGGCAACAGCGTCGTCAAGGACGGCGACGCGGAACAGTTCAGCGTGAATGAAGCTTTACAACGCAATCTACAAGATGACCTGCGAGTACAGGAGCCTGCTTTAGACCTCTATTGGCTTTGAGTTGACTGGCGAGCTCATGTTGGTGTCCGAAATCTTCTCCACGACGGAGAACAAGAAGAGCCAGGGCATGATTATCTTTAACAACGACCAGGACGACATTGAGGACGCTTATGAGGATCCTGAGGAGGAGGGCCTGCTCTAGTAGAAGATGATGATCTAGTAGTAGTAGGTGTGGTTGGTGATATGGTTGATCTACTAGTTCTTTGAGTGCGTGTAGTACCTGGTCTTCTTGCTGGATAAACCTTGCCTAGAATGAGGGTTAGATATATGAATAGAACGTTAATATGAGCTATAGTTTGGTAGACAGATTTATGAGTGTGATCCCGAGGGTTAGGGAGAAGATAGACCCCTTGAAGTGCTTGACTGTTAGCAACGAGGTGAGGGACTAGTGCATCCCGTTGATCTCGAAGCTCACGAGGAAGTTGTGGAGGTTCTTAGAGCACTTCAGCCTTGCCGACGTGTCGAGGGGATACCTGTTGATGTCTGCCTCCTGCCCCATCAAGTTCATCTGTGTGGGGATCAGCCCGTACGAGAACGGCATCCTCCCTGACTTTGCCTCCGCCCTAGCCTACTCGATGGGCTTGTTCTCTGGGTTGACCCTGTTGGTGCAGGTTATGTTGCAGTTGCTGACAATATGTGCGATGTGGTTGGACCGCAAGTTCTTCTCCACCAGGCTGCACGTGGACGAGAAGGCGAAGCTGACGTCGTACGCCTACAACGAGAAGTTTGTGCAGACACTGAGGTGCTTGTTGATGTGCTTGGGGGCGGGGGCAATGTTTGTCAACGCCGTGCCTGTGATTATGAGCAACATCTTGGAGAGATGCATGGTGATTTCGCTTTTCTCTGAGTAGTTGTTAGAGATCGTGATGATCTACGGCAACAACGGGCACAAGTTCAGGATCCTGTCGATGAGCGAGGTGGCGGACAAGTGCCTGAGCGACTCCACCAGGTCGTGCCCCCCCCCCATGACTGCGCACATCGAGGTCATTAGGGGCAGGAGCCCGGCGATAGTCTTGAGGCTGAACGTGTCTAAGACGAAGGGCTTGTGCCTGGTGTCGGACGACTTCATGGAGATGTCCAAGCTCTTGGGGAGGAACCTGGAATGGGACCCTGTTGTCACCTACGGCTAGTTAGCGTACCCTAATAGCGTCTTAGAGAAGCACTTGAGTGTGGCGTTGTTGAGAAAGGTAACCCTAAGCAGAGAAAGAGCAAGAGCAAGAGCATTATCGTTAACTGCGTTCAGGATGAGGCTACTGAAGCGGGTGTGGACTTGACTGTTGCGTTTTCTAGCGTGAACGAGAAGATGGAGGGCCTTGACGGCAAGTTGCTAGCCGTGTGTTGCTCTCGTCCCTCGTTAAGAAGCTGAGGAAGATGTTGCCCTACATGAGCAACGTGGAGGACATTGTGGAGAACTTCTTGAGGACCATCGACTTCAAGGACAAGTTGTCGATTATTGAGATGGGCGAGCAGCTGGCGGAGGCCCTGAACACTGGCGACGCCGAGATCGTGAGCTTCTGCTCCTTGTTTGACAACTAGATCCACACGACCTGCTTGGCCTATTTGTCCTAGTTTCAGATAGAGACGGTGGGGAATTTGACGTTGATTAAGGAGAGGAAAACCAAATACGGATTAGAAGAACGATGCGGTATAGAAGTACATCTCGATACTTATCTACTTGCTGATGCTGCACGTGATGTAGTTGAGGGAGCAGATGATGAAGTAGACGGAGTTGTTATAGGCGTTGATCTAGTAGAAGGGGAAGATGATTATTGATTAGGATGTAGTGTGAGTTCCGTCTCAGAGAAACCTGTTCGTATAGTTGTACATCTTAATATAGGACTTCGCCTTGATGAACATGTCGCTCATCTTGCACTTGGGCTTGTACAGGTTGAGGCCTACAATCTCTTTATAGTTAGGATTGTAGACTAAGAAGGCCCTATACACGCCAGCCAAGTTCTTGAAGGCAGACACCAGAATCTTCATCAAGACGGTGGCGTCGTGCTTTGCGTTGTGGTGTATGTGGTTGACCTAGGGGACGTACTTGTCCCTCAAGGCTGTTAACTTGGCGCAGTTCTTGCCCTTAAGCACCTTGAACATCGTTAACGAGTCCGCCAGCATGACTTTGAGCATGGCGACGTCGTTCTTCATCATGGTTCTGATGAGGTTCACGTGGTCGAAGCAGGAGCCGAAGTGGGCGATGAGTGCGATCTGCGGCTGCTTCCCGGACTTGACTGTGTGCTCAGACGTGATCTCCTCCATCCACGAGACGAATCTCATCATCGTACCGAAGGGGGTCTCGGCCAGCATGTTCCAGACGGTCGGCGTGAAGTTCCTCAAGATGAGTCTGGCGTTGGTCCTGACGCTGGTCCTGATGAAGGTGTTGAAGATCGACCCATCCTCCGAGCACGCCCCAATCTGCTTGATCTCTCATTTGATGCTGAGCTTGATGTCGTAGCAGATGGCGATGATCTTGCTCTTCTTCGACGTGTTCGAGGAGTTGTTGACGGCGTCCTCGAACTCGACGTGGTCTAGGCACTTCAGCAAGCCTAACCTGAGCGTGTACGACTAGTAGTCAGCCATAGCCGACGTGTAGACGCACCTGTGCACCAAGCACTGCACAAACTCGGGCAACTTAGTCTGCATCTAGGGCGTTATACAAAACATCTGGTCCTTGGTAGTCACGAAGTCCTTAGGCCACATCTTCCTCTCCTTCTTATTAAGCGTGAAGTGGGTCTCTACCTTTGACACCTTGTTCTGGTTGTCGTTGACCTTAATGTTGTAGATCTTGTTGACGAAGTGGTTGAAGTCTTTCTGGGAGAAGCAAAGCTAGACCTATACGAGGTATAACAAATGCTATAACCCCTACTGCTACTAGGACTACAAGACGTTGGACGAATACAACAAGATGAACGAGAACATCTTCTGCAGCGGGACCAAGACCTAGAACGGGATCGTCGTCGTGAACAACAGGTCGATCTTGTCGCTGGACGACCCTGTGGAGGACTTGAAGCTCAGGGCCACGCACCTGACCATCGAGAACAACGAGTTAACTAACAGGGTTAAGAAGCTAGAGAACCTCGTGGCCAGCATCCACGTCGTGATGATGGATCCAAGCCACAAGGTAAAGATGACTGTGCCTAAGTCGGAGTACTTCGGACTTAACCTGCCGACCAACATCGCAGACGACATCTCCGAGGGCGTCTCCATGTTGAGCTGCAAGATCAAGAACAGCATCAAGACCGCTTCTTAGTACAACGACGGCTTATTGATCCTCTTAATAATAATTTTTAGGTCCTTGACGGCGACAGCGATCTCTAACTACCTTAACAAGAAGACTGTCTAGGGGACAGTGTTAGCCTTAATCCTTGTCGCCTTAAATGACTTTTTATAATCCTTTTACTCTATCTCTATCTACCTACTACTATATCTATTAGTCTATTTACTGCTATAACATCTTGTACTTCTAAACGCACAGGTTAATTTCTACCTAAATAGTCAGTAAACCCAACTTCTCTTGTATTAAGACACTGTCCGACAGTACATTACGCCCCTGTGAATCGCTGTCAAGACCCCGAGACAGAGCGACAGGATTTACATCTAATAGCTAATTAATTACGAAGCGTGAGGCATCATCTCTTCTCCCCCACTCTCTATGTCTTGTCTAAGTCAAGCAACCAACCACCACCGCTTTACCGAATAAGATGCTGGATTCGCGTGCTGCGCGTCTGTGTGGTTTGCCTACTTAACCTCTCAGAAGACAAGTCGACCCGAAGGTTGCAAAGTCATAATGATGCATAACGCACACCAAGACATCCTCTCCAGCCCATGTTAGGGCATTGCCACTCAGGGGGCGGCATGATCAACGTCTATCATGACTCCAACGACGATTTATCTTTGCAAGACCATTGCGCACGAGCTGCAGTCCCTCCTGCTACTGCAACATCGCTTCATTGTTCATGGTAGCCTGGGGTACTTCCTCTACTTAAGCCAGTTCCTCATAGACCTCACTAGGCATTATTATATTAGGCCCATAAGAGCTTCTATAAGGATGAACACATCTATATTAATAGTTCCAACCACTTTAAATCATAAGATGTTGCGCAACAGACACAACTGATACTATAATCACCTGGCCCGCTTCTCATCGTTTGGAGCAAAGTAACACTCAAGGGGAAGATGATGGCGCACGATGAAGACCTACGTGTGGAATATCCAGTCAGCCTGCCAGCTACCAGTAATAGCTAGCAGTCAATCTCCATCTCTCGCTCTATCATATTTTATTATCAGGTTCGCTACGTATACGGAAGCTCTGCGATTTCCAGTCTAGGTACCAACATCCAGTCGTCTACTATGTGATAATTTCATAGTAGCTCCGCGCCTCGCTCTAACTTAGTTTCTCTCTGTCAAATGGTTGATCAAGAGCTCGTACTAGGTGCCGCCGTCGACCACAAAGTGACTGCTGATGCAAGGCGAGAGAGAGAGAGACAGACAGGCAGTCGAGCATCTGGATTGATGGATAATCATCCGATCCTCCAACTGTTGGGCACGCACTTTTGCCTTCTTCATCCTTGTCGACAAAGCCCAACACATCGACTGACTATCATATGCGCCAGGCTTTCTTTGCCCCCCCCTCAGTATTACCATCGCAGCATCGGTGTGATCATGTACAATAGCCACACATGACGAGCTCCTACTCGAGGCGTCCGACCGTCATCCCCAGCCAGTCCCTCCAGCAACAATCAGGTACAGAAAACCAACCAGCCAATCAGCCAGCCAGTCAGCTAGGATCCTCTCCAAAGCCTCCAACGTTGCCGCACTATCCTGTGGGTGGGGAGGTTGCGCCGCATCAAGCTCGCTCGTTCTGCGATGCTCAGACCAAGGTGGTTTATGCCTCCACATCAGACCATTCTCGTTGCTCAACCGCTCGTCCAAGAGCTGTGTCTCTGTCACGTCCAGCTTGTTTAGATGACCCAGTGCTGTCTGTCCAGGTACCAACCCGAGACCTTTTGGCCTGGACGCTCGGCTTAATAAATGACGACGTGCCTCAAGCCAATACCAGCCCTAGCAGGCTGTTCCCAGCATCAAGGTATTCAATCTACTAAAGCTCGTCACAAGACTCATGAGCTCAAACATGATGAGCGAAAAACGTTTGTGCATCGTTACTTTATTGTATTGCTATCTGTGACCTGTACCTCGTGTCTGGACATTGACCAGCTCTTTTGTCGTTTATCCCTGTAACATATTTAAAAAAGCTTGGCCGGTTTGACGTTGTGCCATCCTCGATATTCGATACGTCAAAGTTTCTGTCTGGCATAGCGAGTGATGATGATGTGTACTACACACATGGTGAAAGGGTTGTAATCGTCGTGGCCGGCCTGCTCAGCGGGGTTACTGCTGGCATCCTCCAAGAAGAAGTCTGCTGCCATGTTGGCAGCGCACCAGAGGTTCATCATGCCCTTCGCTTCGGACCGATGCGCGGCTTCGGACCGACCGATGGAGGGCCCTCGCGGGTTGTCCGGGTCGACGTTGTCGAGAATAGTATCGATTGCCATGCGTATCTCGTAGCGTCTGCGCATTGTCTCCATCTTCTTGCGTCTCTCGGACTGCATCTCGACAGCCTTGCGGAAAAGTCGAGCGTGGATCGCGTGCGCGTTGGCGAGTGCCGAAGCGATAAAGCACGTCTCCCACCTACGTAACTCGTCTTGGTGGAGCTGGCGGATGACTGCCGTTGAATTGCAGAAAATGTCGGCTGAATTGAGAAGCCGCTGGAGGGAGGGTCGTCGGGCGCGGACTTCGAGAGTGTACCGAGCGAGAGAGGCCAGGCGATCCCTCTCGGCCTTGCCAAAGATGGCAATAGCCTTGATCTCGTCGGGTGGTAGAGCAGCGGCGGTAGAGGTTAAAAGGCACTGGAGGAAGTGTTGGCGGTAGGCATCAAGCGTCTCGGAGGTGACGTCTGCTGGCACATATTCCGAGATTCCCAAGACGTAGTACGCAGACAGTATTAAAAAAAGCCCACAGTCAACGGCGTTCTGCTGACGAGCGCACTGGCGGCGTGTTATTAGGTGACTCCCGCACGAGACTGCAGAGGCCGAGCGTGGACACATACCTGGCTCGCATCCAGGTCGACTTGGATCCCATCAGACACACCCAAGCGACGGAGGAATGGCAACACGACAGCATCGGCGACTTGGTCGACGGGCAGAATGCCTGGAAACGAATCAAAGAGCCGCACCTTGTTGTCCTGGCGAGAGAAAACGAACAAGACCCAGTGGATGTTACGGCAGATAGGCATGAGGATCCTGTCGTAGTTTGCTCGGGCGATTGCATCATAGACACGATCGGGTATGTTCTGCGAGCCAAGGACCAAACTGCTAATTGCCAGGACCTGACGATTCATCAGGGACAAACGGTGGAGGAGGGTATCAATGATGGTGTCGTTGAGCATCTGTCCCGGCGACAAGCGGTACAGGTTCTCTGAGATGTCTGCGAGGGCGGGGCGATACTTGAGCATAGACGGCGGCCGAGGGACGAACGGGATGATGGAGGTGGGGTTCATCTCCTCGGATGTATCAGAAACGGGGTTGACTTCTTGTCCGCATTGATCGGATACGATCATGCGACTAGAAGACGGGTCGGCTGGTCTGGCGGGCGAGGGGGAAGGAGGCCCATCTCTGACAACAGGTGAAAGTCTTGGTGGCGACAGAGAAGCAGGACTAGCCTCTACGGGGACGACAGCAGCCCCATCTCCGACCACAGGTGAAGAAGGTCTTGGTGGGGTGCAGTCGATGCTAATGTTTGTGATGATGCTCCCACCGCCAAGACTGTCACTGAGACTGGTGACATGGCAGTCCCTGGGCCCAATGTCAGTGAGTCGACGACGTTTGGGGGCGGGCGGCTCCTGTGCACCCTGGCGTTCTTTGCGAAGACGCTGCGGGGCTTGAAGACGGGATGGCCCAGTCCAAGGATCCGACTCGGGCATGTGGAAACCGCCGTGTTCGTCGTCATCGGAGCAGTGCATAGATGGGGGCGCGTCCAAGTCAGACTCGCCAAGGTCATGATTGCCATCGAATTGGAAGGGAAACTCGGGGGATACTGGAGAAGCAGCCAAAGTCTGGCGTTCCTTTCTGGGTCGCTCTGGTGAAGCAGCAGGCAGGTCGGCACGCGGGGTTGTGGGAGCTTGTGTTTGCTTCGCCTGAGTTGAATTACCGGTAACGGGTTGTACCGTCGGACGGCGTTGCACACCGCCCCCTCTCGTCGTATCGTCGCCGGCAGCTGGTTTATGGGTGCTGGTAGAGGGGCCTTCGGCAGGAAGGGGTCGACGACGTTTGTCTCGCGTGGGTTTGCCGCCGGTACCAGAGTCGGATTCGTGTTCGTGGGAGCTGCCGGGGGAATCATTGTCCTCGCCGCCGGCTTTGCTACTCGAGTCGCCTTCGGGGGGAGGTGACGTGGGATCCTCGACGGGGCGGTGTTTCCGCTCGACAAGGGCAGGCTTGACTAAGAAGGGCAAACATGTCAGCCACAAAGTAGAGTGGGCGTGTGGATGACGTACAGTGACTGACAGCCTCCTTGAGCATACTAATGGCGTTCTTTGTGGCTCGCGGACCCCAGCGACGAGTATTGTGTCGCGGCACGCTGTTGAACTGGTCGACAAGGTCGGTGAGAAGAAGTTCGGGGCTCGCTTTGCGTAAGCTGTTGAGGAGATCGATGCACGCGCGAGAAGAGACAATCTTGTAGGAGAAGAGATCCAAGAGGAGACCGGGGGAGGCGTCCCAGCGATCGGCTAGTGAAGTCAGGCGACCGAGCATGTCTGGAGTAATGGACTGAAGGACGACCTTGTGCTGGCGGTCGAGGATTCGGCAGAGCAGCGGACGTGCGACTTTGTTGAGAGCCCAAACGATGAAGCTGGCGCCACCGGTGATTGACGAGTCTCTGGTCTCGGCAAAGTTGGCGTGCAGCTTGTCCCACAGTTGGTCAATGTGCTCCTCGATCTGAATGATGTCGATCTTGTTCAGCTCATCCAGCGTTTCGAGAAGGGGCGCGCTCTGTAGAGTGCCTGAGTCATCGTCGAGGGGGGTGTCTCTTTCGCTGTGCGCCATTGCATCGATCGACGCCGGGTTCGCGATGTTGACTGCTGTGCATTGTCGCCCACATGATGGGATGTCGAGGTAGACAAGAGGGTGCAATGGAAGAAGGTAGAAGAAGGAATAGGAGAAGGATGTAGAAGGCGGTAACCAGAGGTGTTAATTAATTGCAAAGCAAGTGCAGGTGGTGGTTAGGAGGAAGAATCGCAGGAGCGCAGGAGCGCAGGAGCGCAGGAGCCAGGGCCAGGAGCCAGAAGCTCCAAAACCTGCCGGCCCGCGGTTGGAATTGGAGTTTGGCTGACTCAGCCAAGCAGCCAGCCACCCACATGGTACATGTTTAGGGTGTGCCAGCTACACAGCCACACAGCCATAGATCACTAGCCTTTGGCGTGCACTCTACTCCGTACAGATGCGGGTCGGCAGGAACAGTGACGTTAGACCAACCGCTCCTAGGCGACAGGGCCCAGCCTCACTATTAATTCATACTAAAAAAAGAGAAAGCTAAAAAGGGAAAACAGCCCTGAGCATGACAGTCTAGGGTATTGTTAGACTGGTTGTCATCCTCGTCCTTGTCCTCCTCTTCCTGTACTTATAGCACTTCCTCCTCCTCGTCCTCCAGCTCGCCCGCTCGGTCCACTAGCCTTTTGAACGTGGGCCAAACAACGTCTTGCATTGCGGCCAGGCCGGGGTCTGCGCTGGGGGCGGGCTTTGGAGCACCTAGGGCGACTAGCTCCCGGACAAGGGCGAAGTACTTCTTCAGGCCGCCTTCCTTGCTTCCCTGTTGCATTTCATACTGTGACGCCACGTTGCCATGGCTGGATGTACATGTGCGTGTAAATGATGCCAGTTGCGCATTGCGCCTACTTCATTCGAATCACATCGCCCGCATACGTACTACCCCTTATCGTATTTTGGTAATACACATGTAGGAGTTGCGTCCCGCAAAGGTTTTGTCTGTCTCTCCTTACCTTTTCTTACTTTTGTTGAAGCGCGTGGTACTGCAGCGATGGGGCAAATATTCGGAACATTTAGTAGCTTGACTAAGGTTTGAGTGCTTATGTAATTGCTCCAGCTATGACTAAGCACAAGCGTGACTAAGCACAAGCCATCGTTGCCTAGGGTGACAGCCCATTATGTCATCACATCAAACCACCATACGTCCATCACCACAACCATGATCAATCCAGTCTACACGCAACACCAGCAGGTCCACCACAACCCCGGATTACAAGCACATGTGGGATTCCATCAGTTCGTGGGCACAATCTATCGGGGATTGCCTGCCGCAAGCGCAAGACCACAACAGCCAAGACTCTTCCAGTCGCAAACGGAAACGCCAGTATCCACCGTCGCCAGAATCACTGACCTCCAGTCTCGACGCTCCGCTCATGGTCGCCGGCGACGCGACACCCTCTCCCAAGAAACACAAAAGAGGCAGCTCCGCTCGCGACAGTATCGACGGCAATGACACGGAACTCGCCTTCCCTCGCGACGTCGATCTGGACCAAACCCCGACGAGGTACTCCAACGCCGCTCTATACACAAGCTTCCGACCCAGAGCCTCTCGTTCCACCTCGAGATCCCCCACGAAATCGCGATCGACCAGTGGCTTTTCAGATCGGCAGTCGAACGCCTCTTCCTCTGCCCGGCGCAAGTTCATAGAGCTCCCTCTGAAGGAAGAAGGCATCGTCAAGCGCGAGCTTTCAGACGCACTAACCGATCAAGATGCGCCGGCCGCCATACGAAGCATGCTTCAAAAGATCCGGTCGCTCGAGCGATGCCGCGGCGTTCTCTGCCAATCCCGCCGCGACGACCCTTCTTTTACGCCGCTAATGCGCGATGCCGACCTTGACGACGCCGTCTATGCCGTCTCAAAAGACCATCCAGCGAGTCGACTGACAGCAGCCAACGCGCAAGAGATAGTTGCAGACGCCCGACGGTGCTTCCTCATGGACCACGACGAGACGGTCTGGAACGCCGACGTCCACAACATGCTACTCCGGATGGTTTTGCGTCCTGCCACTGGCCGACAGGCAAGGCTAGGGGACTTCAGCCTTTGGTGAGTCGATGCCGCGAGACCCCGGTGAACTCGCCATTTGTTTGCAAAGCTGACTCGTCTCCACCAGCACAACTGCATCCGTCATCAAGGACTACCTACCCGAGGGCGAAGCCGAAAAGAAGGTCGACTTTTGCATGTATATCAACCCCTCGGCCGATCCTGATGTCGGTTTGCAGAGCAAGATTGACGCCTTGCGACGGGCGTTGCCCGAAACAAGTCTCAATCACACCTCGTACGTCGCGCTCTGTCCATTTCCGATCTCGGTGAGCCTAGAGACTAAGAGGCCTGGACACGATTTGAACGGCGCCGTCTTGCAGATCGGCATATGGCAGGCGACGCACTGGAAGATGCTACGCCGGCTCCTCAGCTGGACCGCACCAGAACGACTGCGAAAACAGGGTAGGGTGTCAGCCTCGCCAGAGGATGTAGGCGCACTTGTCAACGATGAGTTGGCAAAGCTGGGTGCCCTGCATGGAGTCCTCATCCAGGGCCACGACTGGTCCTATGTCGCCACGTCTCCAGAATCCCTTGACAGCCTTAACGCCCACTCGCTTAAGACAGTTCTCTGGTTGCAAAAGTCTTTCGGCCAAACTAGCACAGAACTAGGTGTACACCAGGTCGCAGCATTCCTAGAGCAACTGAATACGTGGTCCACCCAGGTCTACTGGCCGTGGTTCAAACGGTGTTTCCTCGAATGAGACAAGGGCTGAAGGGCTCTACGCATCGCGTATAGAGCAAGTTTTGTACCCCGGTTCTGCATTTGGATAGTCTTTTGTACGATTTCGACGAAGCCTGGAATTGTGGTTAATGTCCCTGAGGGCCAGCCTGCTGTAGTAAGGCTGTACGGGACTTGGTTGTTTGTTTTATGGTTTTTAGGTTTTCTTTCTGGGGGGAAGGGGGATTCTTTCCACAGCCTGCATGCTTATTAAAAGCACATGGCCAGCTTGAGTGCCTATTCAAGGCATATAACATGGACAAATGAGAGAAACGTCTTAATGATAGCACAGCTTGTGTTGCCTATCCAAGACATATGGCGAGCCATTGGCCGGTGCCGGTCTAGTGGAGAAAGAGAGAGAGAGAGAGAGGGAGGGAGAGATAGAGATGAGTTGAGCCTGTTGTGAAGGATGACGGCTGATTGACAGTCTAGAGTTTCAAATTAAGGGCGGCGACCTGGTCAAGGAGACCGTAGGAGCCGAGGTATGCGGGAGGCAAGCCAGGCGCCGCGGGCTCAGGAGGAGGAACCCGGGTACTCCTTAGCTTGAGAAAACTGATAGAGAAACAAGCAAAAGGTATAGTGTCGAACTTTTGATGGGTGTAGAGGGGCCGCTATGACACAGATCAGATAATCCTGTAGAAACACCATGTCCAGATGAAAAGACGGACAAGCAAGATATGCTCTTTCTTACCTCAACCATAGGTAGCAGAGATAAAAGGCGAGTGGCCGACAACTCATAATGGACGTCCCGCTGACCTTTCTCTGCCAGGGCTCTCTTGTTCCCCACGACAGGATACCCCGAAAGAACGCCACTCCTCCCATCTGCTGCAGTTTGATGGGATGATGACGGACTTTGGAGAGAAGAGAGACGGAGGTGGAGAGGGAGAGAGGATGCACTGAGGGAATAGGGGGGTGGGGATATTAGCATCTCCAGAAGAAGAGTAAGAGTGACCTCAGGTGAATTCATGGTTCCAGGTCGTGTCGATCTAGTCCGTGTGGTCTCGTTTAGACAAACCAGATGTTTTAGCACCAATTCATAGTTCATGTACCTACAGAGATGTAGCGTACAGTCCTAAAGACACTCGCTGTCAGCTGGCAAAAGCCAAAAGAACGGTGTACAGGACAGGCCAGACAATAGGTCTTCTGTTGCATAAGTCAATACTGCATAAACGTGTACATGTATTTTTTCAGGGGCCAGAACAGCAAACGCCGTATCCACTAATACATGTAAATATCTCTAGGTGTTAGGTAAAAGAGCAGGAACTAAGAAGCTGGTTAGTGTTAAAGTGTGGCAATTAGCAATGAGCGAAAGTAGGGCAAATGTCGCTGTCATTAGATAGTGAGATTTCTGTACTTAAAAATAGTAATTTAAATAATAAATACAATAGTTAAAAGGCTATAAATTTATAGCTATAGCTATAGTTAACCTACTATAAATATATAATTAATATACACCTAATTAAAAAAAGATATTCTTATAGTTAACTACTAATGTATATATATAGTAAGTTAGATAATATAGTAAGCTAAATATTTTTTTTCTCTTATATACCCTTGTTATATATTAAGTTTTATCTATATAAATAATAGATTCTTCTTTAAATAAAAGCTATATTATTTTTATACTAAAAGCTATTAAAGAAAAGTAAAGATTATCTATATAAAAAGCTACTTTTATCTATAGTATCCTTAAATTAACACCTGAGAACTATATTATTAAATAAATATTAAAATATAAACCTTAATTAGATTTAAGAAAAATAATATATCTAGAAAAGAAAGTAATTTATAAGAAAGTTATGAACTTAATAAATAAGAAATTTTTACTTTAGCTTAAAAGTATATTAAATATAGCTAATAACTTTATAAATATATATAGTACTATATATATATAAGTATATTAAATAAAGAACTTTATATAATACTAACTAGACCTTAATATATAATTTTTATATTAGATTAATTATTTAAGAGTATTAGCTAAAGATATTATAATTATTTAAGACTACTTTATACTTATATAGAACATAATAATAAAGTATAGGATATAGAATAATAATATTTATAATTTTAATAAGACTAAGTTTTTAATATAAATACTATTATATATAAAGATTATTATAACGTTTAGTTATAAGAGAATACTATATTTAAAGTAGCTTAATAATTATAAATAGATTTTTTATTATTTATAATATATATCTAAATAGCTAAGTAATACTATTATATATTATTTTTAAAAGTAAATATTACCTTAGTTTTTAATATACTAATAGTAAATTTTTATTTAGCTAGTATTATTAGTAATACTAAAGGATTAGTTAATATAGTTAACTATATATATTAGTAGTAATTAATAAATAATTAAAGTAACTATAGTTCTCTATTATATATAAAGAAAAGAAAGATAATTATTATAAGTTAGTTACTTAAATAACTAATTTATTACCTATAAATTCTAAGAGAATTTATAGCTAATAATCTAAGAATTTACTAGTAATAAGTTATTAAGGTTAACCTAATAACTCTAATATTTATTTATATTAGTTAATATTATAACACTAGTAACTTTCTATAGTACTAAGAATTCTTTATTATTTATATCTGAAAAAATAACTAAAAACTATAATAAAACTAAAAAGCTAAAAAGTATTTAATATTTTTTACTTATATAGTCTATTATATATAAGAAACTTATTTATTTATTTATATCTTTAACTATTTATTATTAAGGGAATTAATATAGATATACTAGGAATTAATATAGATATACTAGTCTTATAGATATACTACTATTTACTTTTTTAATTAGTCTAAAAAGAATTTATTAGTATAACTAAATTCTACTAAACCTATAGAAGATAGTTCTCTCTTTTTTATCCCTCCTTATAATAAGCTTAATTTATTTAACCTTGGTCTTATTTATACTATTTATTTATAGGGAATTAATAGATAGGTATAAGGAATTAATATATAGGTATTAGCCTTATATAGGCATAAGATATATACTCTCTAATTAGTCTAAAAAATAGTATATCCCTATAAAGACAGTAAAAGCAATTACACTAATACCATTATTCTATTATTTTATTTTACTATTAACTAATTAACCTATATAGCTATAGGAAATAGGCTTAATTAAGGAGTTCTTTTTATAGCTATAGAAAATAGACTCTATAAGAAAGGCCCTCTTTATAGCTATAAAAATAACCCCCTAATTAAGCCTATTTCCTATAGCTATAAAGGTTACTTCTCTTGCTAAGCCTATTTTCTATAGCTATAAAAACACCCCCTTATAGAGCCTATTTTCTATAGCTATAAAGGTTACTTTCTTTACTAGGCCTATATCTTATAGCTATAAAAAAGACCCTTTATTAAGCCTACTTTTTATAGTTATAAAGGTTATCTTTCTTACTAAGCCTATTTTCTATAGCTATAAAGGTTACTTTCTTTACTAGGACTATATTCTATAGCTAGAAAAAAGACCTTTTATTAAGCCTACTTTTTATAGCTATAAAGATTAGCCTTCTTACTATACTTATTTTTTATTTACCTTAAAAAAATAACCTTTTTTATATTTAAAATACCTAGTACTTAGCTACTTTCTTATACTATAGCTGTAAGGATTTATTATTACTACTAATTATTTTTTACTAACTTTATATTCTTTAAACACTAGGCTAAAGTAGCTATTTACTTATATAATTCTTTATTATTTTTTTACTACTAAGAACACTAAAATAGTCTTTTATTTATTACTAGGATAAGATTAAAATCTAGCTTTAACTTAGTTAACTTTTTTTTTATATAGACCTAGTTATTATTAACTTATTTTTACTTTTAAGTAAATAGCCTTACTTTTTACTACTTATACTTTAGCTTATACTAAAAGTATAAGTTTATTTAGTTAAGTAGCCTTTTCTAGGTAAAAATAATTATAATAAAATAAACTATATAATATTTTTAGCTTACTATTAAAGAATACTATAATTTTTAGATTTAGGATTTACTAGTATAAATTAAAAGAAGATATTTTTTAAAGATACTACTAAAGGTATATTTTTTATTTACTAAATATTATTAAATTAAGTATTTTTATAAAGATTTTATAGTAGTATAAAATACTAAGCTTAGTTAAAATAGTATAGTCTAGACTATATTCTTTAATAAAGGCTAAAAATAGTCTTTTATTAAAAGGCATTACCTTTTTTATTAGCTAGTATTACTTTTAAATTAGTACTAGATATTTTAAAGAAAGTATTATTATTATAATATTAACTATTATAGATAAATAGTAGAGTTATTAGGTTAACCTTAATAACTTATTACTAGTAAATCCTTAGATATTTAGCTATAGATTCTCTAAGGATTTATAGGTAATAAGTTAGTTATTTAACTAGCTAACCTATAATAATTATCTTTCTTTTTTTATATATAATAAAGAACTATAGTTAGTTTTATTATTTATTAATTACTACTAATATATATAGTTAACTATATTAACTTATCTTTTAGTATTACTAATACTAATTAGTAGTTAACTTTACTATTAACTATATAGGTTAACTTTACTATTTAAACTATAGATTAGTAAGGTCTATAAGAAGAAGTAATTATTACTAGTTAATTATTTATATACCTAAAGTAAGTAAAGACTAAAAAACGTCTCTATAAATATCTTTACTATAATATTATACTAATTATTTATTATAATAAGTTAATTAATAGATCTATAACTAGTCTTTTTAACTAGTAGAAACCTTATTATTAGTTTTTTACTAATTAACTAATAGGATATCCTAAGTTTATAGTATTATAAAGTATAAAAAATATAGTTAATTAGTAGTTATTAATAGTTAACTAGTTAATAAGGTAAAGTAAAAGCATAAGTGTAGTAGTACCCTTGTGTATAGGCAAAGGTAAAGGATTCTACTAGTAGGCAGTGTATTATATAACCTACTACCTCTAGCTATATTACCTATATACTAACACTAGTAACTTTCTTATATAGTAAAAGTCACTAGTGCTCCTATTTCTCCTAAAAAGCCTAAAAACATAATAAAAATAAGAAGAGCAAAAGTATTACACTTTTTATAGTTATATACTACTATAAATTTATTTATTTATTTACTTAGTAAAAGTAAGCTTATACTATCTTATTTAAGTATATTTCTCTTTAGCTATAGCTATTAGAGGTATATACCTATATTAAATAGATTTAACTACTATTAATCTATATAGGTTATATAATCTATTTTTTTTCTAAGTGCTTATTATCCTATATTTTATTATTTTTATTATTTTTTATTATATTTATATAACTTATCCCTTTATTTATATTTTTACTTTATTATAAGAGATAAGACTCTTAAGTGCTTAGTTTAAGGAGGACTTTATAAACCTATTAGTAAAGTTATTATTACTATAGATCTATTATACCTTAAAGAGCTTATATTACTCATATAATTATTATAGTACTATAATATTAATTATTAAGTGCTTCTTATAGATAGTACTTAACTTTACTAGGCACTTATATAGTAAGTATAAGTTAGTATAAGTAATAGTAAAGATTAATAGGTTACTAAGCTTATTTACTACTATTATAATAGTTATAAAAAGAGTATATACTATATTAACGCCTATAACTATACTATAGACTTTTAATATAAGAATACTTTATATTACTTATTTAGATTTAGTTAATAAGAAATAAAGGATATTACTATAAAGAGTAAACTTACTTTACTTATTATTAACCTTTTTATTAGTAAAAAAAATAATAAATCTTAACTATAAAGTTAAGTTATAATTATTAGTAAAAGATCTATTAATAAATATAAAAAGCTTTATATTAAGTAAGTTAAAGAGAATAAAGGTAAAGCTATAGTTAAGTATATTTATTTACTACTAGATTCTTTAGTTAAGTTACTAAATAGCTTTACTATCTAGCTTCTTATACTAGGCTATAGTAGATAGGTTAAAGTATACTTTAGGCTAATAAATAGAAGTAATATATATACCTTAAGTATACTACTAGATATAGTCTTACTAGGCTATAGGTAATTTCTTATTAATAAGTCTTAGCTTTACACCTTAGCCTTTTTAAAGAAGTATAATAGAGGTATTTTTAGCTAAAGTTAATAAAATAATCCCTTTATTAAATACTAGAGGTTTATTTTCTATAAGTAAAATTCTCTTTTTTATAAGGAGTTTTACTTTAGTAAGCTTATTATCCTTATAGTTAAAAAAATTAATACTAGTTAAGCTAATTATATTATTTATTTATATCTTAATTATTATAAAGTTAAGGTTTT